CCCACCATGACCCAACCGTGACCCAACCATGACCCAACCATGACCCAATGACCCAACCATGACCCAACCGTGACCCAACCATGACCCAATGACCCAACCATGGCCCAACCATGGCCCAACCATGGGCCAACCATGACTCAACCATGGTCCAACCATGACCCAACCATGACCCAACCATGGCCCAACCATGACCCAACCATGACCCCAAATCCCACCAAGACCCAACCATGACTCAACAACCCCAAATCCCACCATGACCAAGACTCAAAAATCAACCATGACCCAACAAAGACCCCAAGACCCAACCATGACCCAACCATGACAGCAAGTCCCTCCATGACCCAACCATGACCCAACCATGACCCAATGGCCACCATGACCCAACCATGACCACAAGACCCACCACGACCCAACCATGACCCAATGACCACCATGACAATGACCCAACAATGATCCCATATCCACCATGACTCAACCGTGACCCAATGGCCAACTTGACCATGACCCAACATTGACCCAACCATGTCCCCAAATCCCACCATGACCCAACGATGACCCAACCATGACCCAACCATGACCCAATGGCCAACATTACCCAACCATGGACCCAAATCCCACCATGACCCAACCGAATGGCCAACATGACCATGACCCAACGATGACCCAACGATGACCCAACGATGACCCAACAATGACCCCAAGACCAACCATGACCCAATGACCCAACCATGACCCAATGACCCAACCATGACCCAACCATGACCCAATTACCACCATGACAATGATCCAACGATGACCCCAAGACCCACCATGACCCAACCATGACCCAACCATGACCCAACCATGACCCAATGGCCAACATGACAATGACCCAACCATGACCCCAAGACCCACCATGACCCAACCATGACCCAACCATGACCCAACCATGACCCAACCATGACCCAACCATGGCCCAACCATGGCCCAACCATGGCCCAACCATGACCCAACCATGGCCCAATGACCCAACCATGACCCAACCATGACCCAAAGATGACCCCAAGACCAACCATGACCCAATGACCCAACCATGACCCAACCATGACCCAACCATGACCCCAAGACCCACCATGACCCAATGGCCACCATGACCAGGACCCAACCATGACCCAAAGATGACCCCAAGACCAACCACGCCCCCCAACCCCCGCACCTGGAGAAGCTCTTCCCGCAGTGGCCGCACGCGTAGGGCTTGTGCACGTGACCCTGGTGCGACCTCACGTGCGACGCCATCCTGTCCTTCCTCTTGAACCTCTGCTGGCACACGGGGCACTGGAACGGCCGCTCGTCCGTGTGCGACAGCCGGTGCCTCTTCAGGTGATAAACGTCCCGGAAGGCTTTGCCGCACGTGTCGCACGCGTGGCTCTTCCTCGGCGCCGACGCCGCTTTCGGCGGCGTCGCCGCGGCGGCGTCGGCGGCGTCGGGG